TGGGGAACTGGAGCAAGCTGGAACCAAATGAAGTCAGTCTCTTGCCAATATAAGCTGCCTATCAGGGCTAAAATCAATACTGGTGAAGCTGGAGTGTCAACTAAATTGGTGCCGTGGCAACAGAACACAACTGTTTGGAGAATGGCCTCACATGAATTTAGCAGTGCGTGTGTTTCAGGTGTTGGATTATGCACCCTAACCTAGCTGACAAGAATTTACATTTCCAGGGGTTTTTGCATTGCATGTTTTAACACAAGACGTCAAGCAATTAGCTGAAGACCTCCTCAACCTAGTACTGAGGCTTCCTCTGTACTCACACAGAGAACCCCAGTGTTCATGAAGGTGATGTCAGAACATTAGAACTCAGCTGAACAAGCACTGAGTAACCTTCCAGCTGAAAAAAAGGCTCCTCAGTGCATCATACAAATGTGCAATTGGCATTTGGAAAAAACTGGGCATCCAAGGGGATCAAAGAGGAACAGGTACACCAACACATCCTAAACCATTTAGGTAAGTACTGGACCTCTTTATCCTTGGAAACGTGACATATGAATGGCCTTCACTGCAAGTGATAGCCAGGACAGCAAGTCTAAAGACTAAACGAGAAGGATGGGTTTGGGTGCCTAGCTGGTTTGTTCCCTTGCTGCACATCCACTTTGCATACAGGCTGACATGAACWGTAAAGCCAGAAGACACCTACCACAGAACATTTCAGCAAACTCCTAGGCAGTTTAGATTTCAGGCCGATTTAAAGTAATCTCTTTTAATTCATGTGCCAAAATTTTGGCTACTCCATAGCTCATCAGCCTATAAAATGGGTTTCATTATCAGTTCAGAGAGTGACTTAATTAACTGTGCAAAGAACTTAAGACTTCTAAAAATGTCTAAGATACATGGGACGTGTTAGCTAGTATATGCAAGTGAAGTAGAAGGATGTTTTGAAACAACCAACAACAGTAATTTTTCTCACCTTTCTTTCAGATTTCACAGTGATAACAGAACTCCCAAATCTTGATAGTTCCTGTAAAATAACATTGCTGGTTATAATACTGCTAGTTTTTTTTGGTTTTTTTTTAACTAGGACTTTTTAGTTTCTCAGTAGTTTGTTTTCTCATTACTTACCTCAGGAGAAATTAGAACATACTGTGCCTGAAGAAGAAAAAAAAAAGGAAACAAAAAGTCAGTGGAGGGAACCACGCTAGGAGAGTAGAAGACCAGTATGATAACCCTGACTCCTAAACAGCCAAGTAATTTAAGAATGAATAGGAGGAGCCAAATTGCAGAGATTCAGAAACTGAGTAAACCTGTTTTCTGTAACCAMGTGTGAACACACTAGGTATTTGTTCTGGATGTAATTAATTTGCTATCATTCTAAACTCTTGTCCAGAATTCATTTTCATTTATTCTTACCCAGTCCTCAGGACAGGGAGATGTCCATGATGTGCAGTGGCCTGTCACATTCCCTGAGGATGCCTGTCTGCCACTGTAAATATAAACACGGCCAGCCGCCCCACCAGACAGGACTGAAGTGACACCGTTAGCTCGCAATGGGGATGCCACAATCATTTCATCTGCATATATTACAAAGAGGACATAAGACAGCAGAACTGAATTAATGGTGCACCAAAACATGGGAGAGCTGGCATTTACATGCTTCTACATGYCACGATTCCTATTAATGATGACAACTAAAATGTTTCAATTTTTGGCTGAGTTGCTTGGAGTTTCAGGCCTCTCCGTAAATCACAATGAATACTGGTACAATTCAATTGGGAAAGCAGACTTTGTTTAGCACTTTTATGAATATATAGGTGTGGGGGAAAAAAGTGGCTGAGTTCTGAAACTCAGCCCATTATTGTGTATGACTGAGGCCTGGGAAAAGAAAGGGAGTGTTAACASCCTACATGRAGGAGGAATGCCGCATCCTTGGCTACTGTTGAGAAAAGGAGATTGGAATGTAGAAWTGATAAYGCAGGTGGCTGGAAATTATAAACATTACTAATACTGTAGCTTTTGCAAACTCACCAATTATGTTCTGATTAYTAATTAAACAGCTGTCTCTTAACCAATGTATGTTTGACACAAATGTATACTCTGGTTGCTAAAATGGATAAAAGAGGCTTGTCCCCCAATAAAGTTCTTCTTTCTCTCTGTTTTTTTCACCCACTTTTGTGTGTTTTTGTATCTATTATTTTATGTTGCTGTTTGGCCAGCAAGCATATATGCCAGCAGCGACATATAGGAGACTGGTCTCCCTGTTGCCAAAAGTTAAACACTTCACATCTGATTTAGATTAATCGAGCTTTACCTAGCCCATCATTATCCAGATCACTCAAGTATAT